TAGATTCTTGAATAGGTTTTGCCAAAATGGGTTCAAAAATGTCAATAATTAATTAAAAAATACAGTAGCTTTATAATTACCTATAACTTACCGAATTTGATGAACGACATCTTTTATTGGAAAGATGAGCTTGATGAGCTTTCATCATCGCTACTGCCTGAAGCACCAACGTCAATAATGAATGGCTCGACTTGTTCCTCTAAAATATTGTCCAGTTCCCACATTCTCTTTTCAACTTTGTCTTTCACGTGCTTAATACAGTTTTCCCATTTTTGCGCTGTTATTAATTCTAGTGCTTCTTTGAAAAGTCCTTTGAGGTCACAAAATTTAAAAGTTGTATTGTGCTTAGCTATATAATTTTTAACCTCTGCCCATATGAGCCAATGGGATTGAGCTCGCAATGGTATGGAGGTAAACGGAGCACAGTTTTATTTTGACTTGCTGCCATTGTGTCAATGGCGTATGTTTGATATTCCGCCTTGTGATCCTTGACAATTCTTAATAATTGTACTTTCAGCATTGCTTCTTCAAAGTTGATATTTTTCGAGCGGAGCCAATTTTGAACATCAACTTTCCTTGAAGCCGTTGTTGGGACCTTCTCCATTCTTCGAGAATGATAAGGCGCATTATCCAACACAATTACTGCGTTTTCCTCTAAGTTCGGTAAAATTTTTGAAAACCACTGTTCAAACGATCCGCCATTCATTTCCTCGTGGTAATCTCCAGTTTTCTTAGACTCAAAGCACCACAGACCGTCAACAACAAATCCATCCTCACTGCCAATATGGCAGATAATGAGCCTTTTCCCTTTACCTGGAAATCTAAGTACTAACTGGTGTAGATTTATTTCAATAAGCGAACCTTTTTCAAATGTTTTCATCACATTCAGCGAAAAAACATTGAGACATGAGTATCAGATTGCTATAATTGGGATTATTTAGTCATATTGAAAGAAAGAATATTGAACGTCGTATGATTACTCAGCGCTTCACAATTTAATTTAAAGTTATAAACCTTTAAAAAATGAATGATCAGGAACCTGAAATACGCGCAAATATTAGTATTAACAAATTATAACTTTATAAAGCTTAAAGTATGAATTAAAATAATTAGAAATATTAGGAACGGTACACAATATAAAACTTAGTAACTTTTTTTAAGTTTATAATATTCGACATATTGTAAGATTATATTAAAAAATTATTGAAATATCGAAAACACATAAAAACATGGCTTAAAAAAGTTCTAACAAATGAAAATGACAATAAAACAACCACGCATTTTATCGAAAGTTATAAGAGTTTTGTTACTTGTAATATGTTTTATCTGCCCCCTGGAATTAATGTTTAGAACCTTGTTCCCAAGGTTTGAAAAACATCCGATTGTTGTCTATTACTCGTATTTACGTGCTGGATTTTTTAATCCTGTGGACAGTCCATCTAGAAAGGCCCTCCTGGATGAAGTTACAGAATCATCAACCCATACTTTACTTGTAGGGTGTCCTGCGTTTACCCACGTTTCATCAAGGTAATAAATCTTCCTGTTTTGATTTCTATATTTCCCAATTTTTGTTAAATAATCCCTCCTCCATAGCACAATTTCTTCTCTATCCAGTAGTAAACTATTACGACCCCATTTTTTCCATTTGAAATTTAAATGCTTCAGTAACGCATGGAAAGTTGATCGTTTGAAATTTGGCAACGTTGTATCTCCATTTACCTCCTGCAGTACTTTATCTATAGTAGGTATTTCATTCCTAAAGAAGAATTCATGCACTTTCCTCCTAATCGCATGCTTATCAGCTTCATCCAATGATTTAACAATACTTTTGCGATGTTTACTGGTCATTGGCTCAGAAAAGGTGTGATTTTTTTTGTAATGTCTTAACACATTAAACACTGATGCGCGACACACCCCAACTTTGTGAGAAACCTTCACAACAATTTCTTTGATGGTTGATGCCTCGTTCTCCTCGCGCTCGATCTTATATATATTCATTTTGCGCAAGCAGTTGATAACAATAACAATCAATAACAAGGTATAACAATAACAACGACAAACTCAACAACTTAATAAGATAACAAACGAAAACGTCCAAAGAAATATCAAATTGCAATGATGCACACGACATACGTAACACGTCTGAACCTGAATGTGACTCTGCCTTGATACGACTGCTCTGCCGCTCGGCATAGGCATTTAATTGCGAATTGACCAATGAGGGCTCCTGTTTTACGTCGAGACGGCGGCGTTAGCGTGAAAATCACCCGAACCTTTTGTTTACATCCGGTCTATCTCTTATCTGAATATACTGTAGTCTAAGTGCAGACATCAATAAAAACAATCCAAAGCATATAATATGTAATATGTTTCTGACTAATGCACAAATTTTCGAACGAGATTACAACTATACTATGATTTATTTTAAACTTCTGGAACTGGATTTGAATATTCTATTTCAGCACAGATAGCTTTTGGATTACAAAAGTACAACAAAACTTTTTAGACACCCCAATCTGACATCTAACCCTGTAACAGCAGTTCGATTTCGGTTACGAGATATAACAGAATATCTTAACGGTAGATCTATTTCCGCTGAAAAAGTTAAACTATAAATTTAAACTACCTAAAACAGGATTTTCTCTAAAAATGCTGGTTCGATTCAACGTTTTCATATGCCAGTCCAGGAGTATTAGACTTTTTCTGCTGAAGAAATCCCACCTGGCTGAATTTTTTACCAGAGCTTCTTTCCAGCATTATAAATCATCCCTCAGAAGTTCCCATGAATCCAAGTGGAGCTTTTTTTATTATTGGGGGTCAAAGGTCACAAAAAACACATTTTTCCGCATATCTTCGGAAATATCAATTCTACGATAAAATGAGTTATTACCTTTTTTGTTCAGTATGAAATTGTCCACAAAAAAAGATTAATGCATTTTTTTCATAGAGATTGTTTTTTCAAGGAAAATTCTACTATCAATGTTGAACATGTGGTCTCCCCAATAGGCCTAATCCACGAAGATAGAACGAAAAAATGATGTTATTGTTACTTTTTTTCCTTAGTCATCAATGTGACAAGATGCGGCATCATCCAAGTCTTCGCCAACCTCAAGTGTTGAGCATAGGAGATTGTTCAAAATCATATTCAGACATGACTGTCCATGACAGTAGCCGCAAATGGCGGAACAGGGAAGGCCAAGTTTCCTACATCCGCAGTTAGCTCCACAACCTTTCGTACAATTACAAAAGATTGTGTTTAATAAGAAATCAGGAGCAGGTGGCAATTTTCGGCCATTTTTCAGTTTATGTGTAAATAATATCACGTAAAACTGTCTGAAATTATCCGACGCGTCTGTATACAACTGATAATAGCAGAATTCTGGTCTGAAGACTGCTCAAATGACTTCAATCCCCCACAGTCAGGTATACAGTGACGTACATTCTAACACAGAAAAAAAGGGTCAGCTGTCCTCTAGGTCACAAAAGGGGACACTTATAGAGCCCCTACCACAAAAGAAAACGTTGTTAAAATACGGTTTGACGTGAAATCTTTGATTTCACGCAATTTTCTGTAAATTGGCGGTCTCTACGAAAAAAAACGCATGAAATTTTTGTGGAGAATTTTATACTGAACAAAAAAGGTAATCGTTCAGTTTATCGTAGAGTTGATATTTTCGAAGATATACTAGGTGACATATAAATCCAAACACCCAGTTTAAATGGTTTTATTCTAATAAAATTTTGTATAAGTACTTAATGAAGCATAATAAATAAATGATAAAAATTTCAAAATGGTTGCACTGCTTTAAAGCCCTTTGACCTTTGATAATGTGTGAATGCACCCTGATGTGCTACGCATTCTCCAACGCGCCTAGGCATGCTTTTGATCAGGTGGTCAATGCCCTCCTGTGGTATCTCATTCCAGGCAACCACCAACTCCTCTCGAAGTGCTTATAGAGTCTGAGGAGGACGTTGCAAATTGAGCAATCTCCTACCCATCATATCCCACACGTGCTCAATTGGGGATAAGTCGGGAGATCTTGGTGGCCATGGTAACAATGTGACATCATTATGTTGAAAGAAGTCTATTGTGACTCTTGCAACATGTGGTCGGGTATTATCTTGTTGGAAAGTTGGATCTGCCAGGGTGTCAAGATGTGGAGAAACGGTCCCTTAAGGACAATAATCTTAAGCGGCGATCTTCACGGTCTGTTGTTCTACGGCGGCGTCCAGTGCCCCTTGCTCTTTGCGTACGGTCTTCTCGAAGCCATGCCTGACAACACCTAACCACAGTGTCTACACTTCTTTGCACTCTAACTGCAATTGCCCGAAAAGAAAGTCCAGCTTTCCGAAGTCCCACTATACGGCCCCTATCAAACTCACTAAGTTGACGAAATCGTACAGGTCTCCGTACTCTACGCATCGTAACCGATCGTAAAGGATGTCAAGAACCAAAATCCGCCAACGTTGATCCTTTACTGCGGCTGAAATATTCATTTTTAGAGCATTAGTGAATTAAAAAAAAGCAGTATAAAAACCGGAATGTCCAACTGATAAGGCTGAAATTTTTTTCACTTTTTATTTACAGTAAGGTAAATACATTCACCAACTTTTATTAAAATAAAACCATTTAAACTGGGTGTTCGGATTTATATGTCATTTAGTACCTATATATGGAAAATAGTGTTTTTGTGACCTTTGACCCCCTATAAAAAAAGCACCACTTGGATTCGTAGGGACTTTTGAGGAATAATTTATAATACTGAAAAGAAGCTCTGGTAAAAAATTCAGCCAGGTGGGATTTTTTTCAGCAGATTAGCCTTCTTCTCGTCTAATAGTCCTGGACTATATGGAGTATTCGACATGGAATACAATAAAATGGAAGAAAAGGCGAAGATGCAACTGTATAAAGTTCTGATTGATTGTATTAATGTTTAGAAAAAAGCGAATAAAGTTTTAGATTCCTTTCCTAAAGTAGTTATCTACCCGTTTGGTTCCAGAAACTCTCAAGACGGCAAACCGATCTTCAAGCCGGAAGGGGGTGAAGAAGAACGCGAGTCGTGGGACAGCAAAGTGACCTTCCTGCTAGCCACAGTGGGCTATGCCGTGGGGCTGGGAAACGTATGGCGTTTCCCCTATTTAGCCCAAAAGAACGGTGGCGGGGCGTTTTTAGTGCCGTATTTCGTGATGTTGGCGGTGGAAGGTATTCCGATCTTCTATTTGGAGCTGGCCATCGGACAAAGACTGAGGAAAGGGGCTATTGGAGTTTGGAATCAGGTGTCTCCGTTTTTGTCAGGTTCGTGAAGGATCTTCAATAAGTCTTTAATCTTATGTTAGGAAATAAAGAAGGCACTGCAGAAATCTCATAAGAATTTGCTGACGGCTAACATCCTTTTAAAATTTAATATGTCGTAGATATCAATGCAAAGAAAAAAAGTTTATATGACCCCTTTCTTTTCCAAATGTATTCGAACAGAAATGGCGCAGACAATCCTGGTTGCCTTTTGAAAAAGTTTGTGCCTCGGAATAGTACTCCATTCGTGCAAGTTTGGGCCCTTAAATTCAAATTCAAATTCAAATTATTTTATTATCCTAACAAACATTACAAAGTATGTATAGGATTCGACGGAATAAAAACTAATAAAACAACACAAGATAAATATGGAGTTGTCCAAAACGGACGCAGGAAAGTAAACGCATATTAAAACAAGAAAGATTGATAATCAAATCAAGTTGGGTACTTTATTTTGAAGATTCATTTATACCATTTATGTATGAAAAATAATATCGCTCAAATGTTCACCACGACTGGATTTATAGACGTCCACGCGATGGTCGACATTTTGCAACATGGTCGGTTCTATGGCATTTCTCTCGGCAATGATGTTGTATTTAGGTTCTTGGAGGGTGGCTGGTTTGTTGACGTAGACTTTGCTCTTCAAATATCCCCATAAAAAGAAGTCCAAGGGAGTCAAATCGCACGATCTTGGTGGCCATGGCACATTTCCTCTGCGCGAAATCACGCGATCACCGAAGAAGGACTGCAATCGATGGATATTGACGTTGGTTCTGTGGCATGTTGCACCGTCTTGTTGGGAATAAACATCGTCCATATCCATTCCTTCAAGTTGCGGCAAAAAATAGTCCTCTATTATTACGTGATATCTCTCTGAATTGACGGTAACGGCGTCGCTGGCAGCATTTTCGAAAAAGTAAGGTCCGGTGATATCTTTTGACCACAATGCACACCACACAGTCACTTTTTGAGGATGCATTGGCTGCTCTTGATACTCACGGGGATTTTCATTCGCCCAGATGCGGCAGATTTGCTTGTTTACCGTCCCATTCAAAGTGAAATGCGCTTCGTCGCTGAACATGATTTTTGATGAAAAATTGGCATCAATTTGGCGGTGTTCAAGGGGCCAATCTGAGAACGTTCGCCGTGAAAAATGGTCGGCCCGACGCAGCTCTTGCGTCAATTGGACCTTGTAGGCGTGTACATTCAAATCCTTGTGGAGAATGCGGAGCAAACTGGTTCTCAAAATGCCCAATTCTTGGGATCGACGCCTTGTTGATTGTTTCGGATCGTCTCTCACACTCTCCTTCACAACAGCAATATTTTCCGGTGCGCAAACGCTCCTTGGCCGGCCAGAACCTGGCAGATTTGCCACGGAACCTGTTGCCTCGAATTTACGCACCAGACGACCGATGGTTGTTTCGTTTGGGCGGTTGTGGCGACCGAAATGTTCACGAAGTGCGCGAAACGTGTTTTTTATTTTTGCACCATTTTTGTAGTGCTCTTGAATAACTTTAATGCGGTCTTCAATCGAATACGACTCCATAGCGATCAATGGTAAACATTCAACTAACAAGATGACATGTCGGTGACAGAAAACAAAGATGGCGTCTATGTCAAATTGACGTTTACTTTCCTGCGTCCCTATTGGACAACCCTTTATATGTATAAAACAAACACACAAACAAATCATAACATAACAAACCCAGAGACGGCATAATAACATTTACACACAAGAAAATCTGTTAGTTTAGCCTACGAGTTAAAATTATTGGTTGGAAGTTTAGAATTGACACTCTCTCAACCCTTTCGCATGACCTTTTGGCAACCTTTATTCACAAAAGCTGTATGGTCTAATATAAAGTTTTCCAGGTAATGTCTGATTCAAATCTCAACCGCTATCGAATAAACTTGTATTAACAGAATGTCTTGATACGATTAAAGCTAACTCTAATTGTATTTTTTCCTTTTGTTCTTTCTGTCCCTATTTGTATTCAGTCAATCTTTCCTTCCTTTTATATGTGTCATTGTATTGAAAATGCTGCTTTTAATTGAACATTAGTCTTGTGTCTTATTTTTTTCTTATATGATTATATTTTAAGCTTGAATTCAGATACGTTAGCTAAGTGCTTTATCTAGGAATCTAGGGTAAAGCGGAAGACCAGCTAATTAACCTAGGAATGAAAGCTAAACTTCGTCTTTTTCAGGTAGCAATTCATATTTTTGTTCCTTGCCTTCAATGAATGACGATTAATACTAATATTATTTTTAGTTATTCTGTATATCAAAATATACAGGGTGTCGCATATCATTAAGGAAGTGTCACGTAAAACTTTATATAAGGCCCAACAATTTTTGTTACCAACTTGTTCTTAATGGCCACAGAAACATGGGAAAAAGATAGAGCAGGGTCAATCAATATCCTGACAGAATAAATTGTTATGTTTTGGGTTTTTTGTATTTGTCATGATACGCTAACCACTCGAACATATACGAGGGTTGATCAAATATAAGCTGGAATTCTTTTTTAATATTTATTTATTCATAAAATAATACAAAAATGCTGTATTTTTCTGTGTTCCAAGCTCTACACATTTTTCCTGGCGATTTGGAAGCTTACAAATTCTTTGAACGAAGATCTCCACATCTCGATCGTTGTCAAAACGCAATCCTCCAGGTACATATTATGTATATATACTAAGTGACATATAAATCCGAACACCCAGTTTAAATGGTTTTATTTTAATAAAATTTTGTATAAGTACTTAATGAAGCATAATAAGTAAATGATGAAAATTTCAAAATGATTGCACTGCTTTAAAGCCCTTTGACCTTAAATAATGTGTTGATGCACCCTGATGTGCTACGCATTCTCCAACGCGCCTAGGCATGCTTCTAATCAGGTGGTCAATGTCCTCCTGTGGTATCTCATTCCAGGCAACCACCAACTCCTCTCGAAGTGCTTCTAGAGTCTGAGGAGGACGTTGCAAACTGAGCAATCTCCACCCATCATATCCCAGACGTGCTCAATTGGGGGGTCCCACTATACAGCCCCTATCAAACTCACTGAGTTGACGAAATCGTACAGGTCTCCGTACTCTAGGCATCGTAACCGATCGTGAGGGATGTCAAGAACCAAAATCCGCCAACGTTGATTCTTTACTGCGGCTGAAATATTCATTTTTAGAGCGTTAGTGAATTAAAAAAAAGCAGTATAAAAACCGGAATGTCCAACTGATAAGGCTGAACATTTTTTCACTTGTTATTTACAGTAAGATAAATACATTCACCAACTTTTATTAAAATAAAACCATTTGAACTGGGTGTTCGGATTTATATGTCACTTAGTATATATATATATATATATATGAACAGAATATGATCATGCGGAGAAATGTATATAACAACAAGTAGGAAAATAATGGGCAAAATCCGCAAAAAGGGATTCGAGCAGAAAATTGGATAGATAAGCCGAGCGATACGTATTTCTGCTGGTTGGCTTCATCAGGCCCGAAATGAATGCACATATGAAACTACAAAAGTAGATACACGTGCCCACACATCCGGATACGGGTGTAACCTGAGGAAACGAAGTTGGAGGGAAAAAAAAACGACACACGAAGTCCACAACAAGAGCCAACCTACACATTGTAGTATAAAATGGCTATACGACCTTGAATTTTCAAGGAGACGTCTAACCACCACCACGCGGCCGGTTATAGTCACTTGCTGTGGTACTTCAAGCCCAAGGGTTCTACAAAGAGAATATGATCATGCGGAGAAATGTATATAACAACAAGTAGGAAAATAATGGGCAAAATCCGCAAAAAGGGATTCGAGCAGAAAATTGGATAGATAAGCCGAGCGATACGTATTTCTGCTGGTTGGCTTCATCAGGCCCGAAATGAATGCACATATGAAAGTACAAAAGTAGATACACATGCCCACACATCCGGATACGGGTGTAACCTGAGGAAACGAAGTTGGAGGGAAAAAAAAAACGACACACGAAGTCCACAACAAGAGCCAACCTACACATTGTAGTATAAAATGGCTATACGACCTTGAATTTTCAAGGAGACGTCTAACCACCACCACGCGGCCGGTTATAGTCACTTGCTGTGGTACTTCAAGCCCAAGGGTTCTACAAAGAGAATATGATCATGCGGAGAAATGTATATAACAACAAGTAGGAAAATAATAGGCAAAATCCGCAAAAAGGAGGAAAGTATATATATATATATATATACTAAGTCGGCGAGATTGTTGCGGAAATTGTTCTTAAACGAAAGTGAAGGGAACACATAGTCGACGAATATTGCCATTCTTCAAAAATTGTTTCCAGCTCCAGACGATGAGGGCGTAGACCTTCGAAAGCTCGAGTTTAAGTTATAAGAGTGTACTTATGCAATACTTTGCCTTCTACCCAAAGAAATTCAAGGATATTTTTTCCTAACAGTTAAGGCATTTAACTATGAGAATTATATATATACATACTCGTGGTTTTGCTACGTTTTAGCGGCTGTATGTGGCCTGGCATTATCATGGAGGAGGATGACATTTCTGATGGGGAGACCACACCTTTTGCGTCTGTACTGACGCACTGACTGACTTGAACAGCTAACCAAGCGTTATCGATTGGCTTAGAAAAGTATTTGTACAATTCCACTTTATATTTGATCCACCCTAGTAACTTTTAGCCGTCCTTGAGAATTATTATTCCGATTCCAGGAATTGGTATAAGCAGCGCTGTGGTATCCTTCAACGTGGCGCTTTACTACAATACAATCATCGCTTGGTGTCTGTTTTACTTCGTCCAAAGCTTTCAGTCCCAGCTTCCGTGGGCTGAGTGTCCCAAAGCCTATTTCCCTAATGGATCGTACATTTTGGAGCCAGAGTGTGTGGTATGTAGCACATTTCACCTAAGATTTCTAAATAAATTCTCTATACTAGAGATTCAATTCAATTTAGTGTATTACCTTCAGACGTATAAATTAATAGGAGACAGTCAAAAGTAATACAACTATAGAAACGAAACAGCGCCATCTATCACACCAAAATCGACCACTGCGCAAAGCTTCTATTGGTTGTAACTGTTAAGAATCTCAGTCCACGTTCAATAGCCCTGTCTTTACATGACCGCTGGATGGCTGGTGATTCTGGCTGTAAAGTAGATGTGGTCTCTGATTAGCAGTATGTCGATAATATGTTTTTACGGATGAATTTTTCAGAAATTTTGATCAATTACTTATCTAACTCTAAGAGACATGCATACAAAAAATTGTAGTAATAAATTCATTATTACTGGGCATAGTTAGCGAAGCACCGGATGTGGAGGAAAGGACCCGACATCACATAACAGGGTGTCCCAGAAGTCGACGTCAAGCCGCAACCGGGTGATAGGCAAAGTCATAACAGCTAACAGAAAAATATTTAAAAAAAATTTATGTATGTGTTTTGAAAATTATAGGTCTTTGAAAAAATATAGAAATTTCACACCCTACGGCAGTCTGTCAACTCCTATTACTACAAATATTAACTTTTTTTGGATTCTATTTTTACAATGTAATGATGAATAATGCATCTTCAAACTGGTGTCTCAACCTTACTGCCAACTTTTCTCGTTCAGGAAAAATTGCCACTTATTTCCCAACCAAGTATTCCAAAGTAAAACTTTGCTCAACTTTAACTGGCTGTACTGGAAAAAAATGTACTACGAGAGTTTGGCAAGTAACCTTAAAAGTTGGCGCATTTAATAACGATTCCAAAATGGTGTAACACTTAGAAGATTACTCGTTAACTTTTGCACAATTTTTATTTGAATAAAAACTGATGAAAATTTTTCAAAATTTCCTAATTAAACATTATTATGGAAACGCACAAGGACCCTTAAGGATAACTGTTTAACAGTGGGCGTCAAAATGCTGCTGATGATGATTTACCTTTACAGCAAATGCTCAAACTGTTTTCCTTCAGCCGCAATACACGCTCGACATCTTCTTAAAAAAGATCGGGTTATTAAACGAGCGAATCCACGGTTATTAACAAACTCAGATGCTTCCAATAGTCTTTGCCGTAGCTCAGCTACATTTTGAATCGGCTTGAAATACACTTTTTCTTCTACAGTTCCCCAGTAAGAAAAAATCTAACGGATTCAAATCTGGTGACCGGGCTGGCCACGGTATTGTACCAGACCGCCCTATCCATCTGCCTGGAAAGCTTTGATCGAGATTCTCTCTCACTGAGAGTGCATAGTGCGCTGGGCAGCCATCATGCTGAAACCACATGTCCCTGTAAATACTCAGTGGCACGTCCTCCAATAAATTTTCTAAATGATTTTGCAAAAAACCTAAATAAACCTCAGCAGTCAAAGTCTCTGGGAACTCAAACGGACCGATTATTTTACCATTTAAAATTCCTGTCCAATGGTTTATCTTGAAGCGATATTAAGATTTATCATCTCTCATCAAATGTGGGTTTGCGACGTGCCACTCGTGTAAGTTATGCAGGTTCATGTACCCATCTTTCTTAAATGTGGTCTCATCTGACCATAAAATTTGTTCAAAGAACCGTGGATCTTCCCTGTGTCTTTCTAACATTGTGCGACAAAAAGCAACTCGGGGCTCATAATACCGGGGCAGAAGAGCTTGAACACGCTGTACGTGGTATGGATGAAACACGTTTTTTTGCAAGATTCTGTGGGCTGTACTTTTGGGCACACCTGTTTTTAGTTCTATTGCACGCACTGAAGTACTCGGGTCTTCTTCGACAGCTCCTAGCACCACGTCTTCGTAAGGAAGGAAAGATCTTCCCTCACCGTGTGATTGGTTTGGTAGTTGTCCCTCTGAGAACAGTAAGCGGTGCACATTTGTGAACACTCGATGATCTGGATGACGAGCTGCATTCGGGTACCTCTCACAGTAAAGTCTCGCTGCAACACTAGCGTTGCATCTGCATTCCCCATAAATGAGGTGCATGTTAGCATATTCTTGTACGGTGTACACGGACATAGCGGCACTGCACAATCACACCATCAAAGATAGTCTAAGGAAAGCAAATGTTGTTTTGAAGAGCAATTAAACAGTCCAAATCCAAATCACAAGCGATCAACAGTCCCGTTCACGAATCCAAAATTAGTAACAGTACGAAATCAACAAGCACGAACATGTAAAGATGCGCATTAAGCGAAGGAGTACTGATCGGTATCAAAGTGTGCAATAGCAAGTAAGTGATGTGCTTCATCCATACCACATACAGCGTATTCAACCTCTCCTGCCCCGGGATTATGAGCCCCGAGTTGCTTTTTGTCGCACAATGTTAGAAAGACACAGGAAAGATCCACAGTTTTTTGAAAAAATTTTATGGTCGGATGAGACCACATTTAAGAAAGATGGGTACATGAACCTGATTAACTTACACGAGTGGCACGTAGCAAACCCACATTTGATGAGAGAAGATAAATCTCAATATCGCTTCAAGATAAACCATTGGACAGGAATTTTAAATGGTAAAATAATCGGTCCGTTTGAGTTCCCAGAGACTTTGACTGCTGAAATTTATTTGGATTTTCTGAAAAATCATGTACAAAATTTATTGGTGGACGTGCCACTGAGTATTTACAGAGACATGTGGTTTCAGCATGATGGCTGCCCAGCGCACTATGCACTCTCAGTGAGAGAGTATCTCGATCAAAACTTTCCAGGCAGGTGGATAAGGCGGTCTGGTACAATACCGTGGCCAGCCCGATCACCTGATTTGAATCCTTTAGATTTTTTTACTGGGGAACTGTAAAAGAAAAAGTGTATTTCAAGCCGATTCAAAATGTAGCTGAGCTACGGCAAAGACTATTGGAAGCAGCTGAGTTTGTTAATAACCGTGGATTCACTCGTTTAATAACCCGATCTTTTTTAAGAAGATGTCGAGCGTGTATTGCGGCTGAAGGAAATCAGTTTGAGCATTTGCTGTAAAGGTAAATCATCATCAGCAGCATTTTGACGCCCACTGTTGTGCAAACAGTTATCCTTAAGGGTCCTTGTGCGTTTTCATAATCGCTGTTTAATTGGGAAATTTTGAAAAATTTTCATCAGTTTTTTTTCAAATGAAAATTGTGCATAAGTTAACGAGTAATCTTCTAAGTGTTATACCATTTTGGAATCGTTATTAAATGCGCCAACTTTTAAGGTTACTTGCCAAACTCTCGTAGCACATTTTTTTCCAGTACAGCCAGTTAAATTTGAGCAAAGTTTTATTTTGGAATACTTGGTTGGGAAATAAGTGGCAATTTTTCCTGAACGAGAAAAGTTGGCAGTAAGGTTAAGACACCAGTTTGAAGATGCATTATTCATCATTACATTTTAAAATAAAATCCAAAAAAAGTTAATATTTGTAGTAACAGGAGTTGACAGACTGCCGTAGGGTGTGAAATTTCTATATCTTTTTCAAAGACCTATAATTTTTAAAACACATGCATAAAATTTTTTTAAATATTTTTCTGATAGCTGTTATGACTTTGCCTGTCACCCGGTTTCGGCTTGACGTCGACTTCTGGGACACCCTGTATTTATTACTCTTTGAACGTATATAGGTCAAACCGCTTCTCCGAGTAATCATGTCATTAAAGCTATAACTATAATTCCTCACAACTAGTGCACCTGTTACGTGTACACCTTGTTTGAATAGAGTGTAATAAAAGACCGTGTGACCCAATATCAGTTGTAAGCTATAACTTCTTATTGATCGCTATTTGTGTAGCTTAGCTTTGATTGTAGCTGGCGTATAACAGACGTTGTCTGCAACTAACGAATGGATTTTTCATAGTTTGCTCTGAAAACAAAAACATTACTGCATTTGAACAAGATTTACAACATTGTGTTAAGCGCCACACCTATTCGAATAAAAAGTATCTGATTCTCAATTTTTAGGGAAGAAAATATTGAGTTGAAATTAAAAGTACTAATTCAAAATAGTTTGTCGTGTTAGAAGCTTTCTTTTTTTAGCTTGTACTGAAAGTAGATAGACTCAGGTAGATATTATATGGATTCAAATTCCAGACATTTTTTAAAGCGTTAATTCTTCACAGCGACTTCATCAGAAGTATAGCTTACTAAACAAAATCATTGTTATGGTCTGGTCGATTTAGGCAAGCAGTCCCACTCAGTACTTCTGGTATCGTACAACCTTGGACATATCAGAAGACGTGAATACTCCACAACCTTTCAACTGGAAAATTGCGATGGCATTGGTTGTCGCGTGGATATTGGTCTACATGTGCATGATCAAAGGGATCGCGTCCTCAGGGAAAGTGGTCTATGTGACAGCCACGTTTCCCTACTTGGTGCTCATCATCTTCTTCTTTCGGGGGATCACGTTGAAAGGTGAGACATTTCAGACTCTAATTTTAATTCATCCCTAAAATTTTTACAATTTCTATCATGTTTGAAATATCCTGATTGAGTTTTTCTAAATAATAATCACATAAATTTATACTAAGTGACATATAAATCAGAACACCCAGTTTAAATGGTTTTATTTTAATAAAAGTTGGTGATGTATTTATCTTACTGTAAATAACAAGTGATAAAATTTTCAGCCTTATGAGTTGGACATTCCGGTTTTTATACTGCTTTTTTTTAATTCACTAACGCTCTAAAAATGAATATTTCAGCCGCAGTAAAGAATCAACGTTGGCGGATTTTGGTTCTTGACATCCTTTACGATCGGCTACGATGCCTAGAGTACGGAGACCTGTACGATTTCGTCAACCTAGTGAGTTTGATAGGGGCCGTATAGTGGGACTTCGGGAAGCTGGACTTTCTTTTCGGGCAATTATAGTTAGAGTGCAAAGAAGTCTAGACACTGTGGTTAGGTGTTGTCAGGCATGGCTTCGAGAAGGCCGCACGCAAAGAGCAAGGGGCACTGGACGCCGCCGTAGAACAACAGACCGTGAAGATCGCCGCCTAAGATTATTGGCTTTAAGGGACCGTTTCTCCACTACCAGGTCCATTGCAACTGAATGGTTTGCAGACCACGGAAGACCTATTGGCATGAGAAGTGTCTACCGACGAATGAGAAGTTTTGGCTTGTTTTCATACCGGCCACACTGGGTCCTCCCTTTAACTCGAGAACACCGACGTAATCGCCTTGAGTGGTGCAGACAACGGTCACTCTGGGATCAGGAATGGAACAGTATTGTCTTCAGTGACGAGTCTCGATTTTGTTTAGGCATGCACGATGGTCGTGCCAGGGTTAGAAGGCGACGTGGTGAAAGGAGGAATCCACAGTTCTTTGTTGAAAGACATGTTCATCACACTCTTGGAGTTATGGTTTTTGGTGCTATAGCTTATGGTTCCAGGTCACCTTTAGTCTTCATCAGAGGTAACATGAACGCGCAGCGTTATATCCACGAAGTTCTAGAACCCCATCTTTTACCCTACCTTGACACCCTGGCAGATCCAACTTTCCAACAAGATAACGCCCGACCACATGTTGCAAGAGTCACAATAGACTTCTTTCAACATAATGATGTCACGTTGTTACCATGGCCACCAAGATCTCCCGACTTATCCCCAATTGAGCACGTGTGTGATATGATGGGTAGGAGATTGCTCAATTTGCAACGTCTTCCTCAGACTCTAGAAGCACTTCGAGAGGAGTTGGTGGTTGCCCGGAATGACATACCACAGGAGGACATTGACCACCTGATCAGAAGCATGCCTAGGCGTGTTGGAGAATACGTAGCACATCAGGGTGCATCCACACATTATTAAAGGTCAAAGGGCTTTAAAGCAGTGCAATCATTTTGAAATTTTTATCATTTACTTATTATGCTTCATTAAGTACTTATACAAAATTTTATTAAAATAAAACCATTTAAACTGGGTGTTCGGATTTATATGTCACTTAGCATACTATATATTCAGTATTTTCAAGATCCTTATTCAGAATTTTTAGATTTAAAAGTGTACAGTCTCGAACATCACACAAATCCTCGAATTTTTGAAATTCTTAAGGCTTTCCGAGTGTTTATGATTTTTGATAATCTGAAACTCCAAGATTTTCCAGTTCCCTAATATTTTTGACACTTATCAAAATTTTCAAGATTTTCCAAACGTGAAATGTTTTCTGAATTCTTCAAATTTTCAGAATTTTCGAAATATCAAGTTTACAAAATTATCAAAATGCTTAATGTCTTTAAGATCATCAATGACTTTATGATCTTTGGAATCTTCAAGCTCTTTCTGGAGTTTTTAAAACGACCAGGATTTTTAAAAAATTTATAATCTCCTGAAAAGGGCTTAGTGAATTTAAAAATTTTCCCAATTTTTCGAGTATCTATCATTTCCATAATTACCGGAATTTTGGGAATCCTAGAGGCTTTATCATTCTCGCAGTTCATAATATTGACGACTTTGAAAAATTTTCATGATTCTTGAAATTGTTGAGCTATAGAATTTTCAATATTTCAAGCTTGCTATGATATTTAGAATTTCACGATTCATCAAAAAATTGCATAACTTCCAGAATATGCTAAATATTTAATATTCTCAATATTTTCACATGTTTTCCAATTTTGGATGAATTCCAAAAATATCGAAGCCCATTTTCCTGAGTACTCAAAATTTGCTGGATTGTTAGGACTGTCAAAGTAATTAAAAAAAATGCTCAAGATTTTCGCGATTGGTTGAACTGCCATACATTTCAGTTTATTGAGGATTTTTTTCAGATTTTAAAATATTTCGAGTTGTGTTTTGTGAGTTTAAAATTTACATTGCAGGTGCTGGAGATGGCCTAATCCATCTTTTTACTCCCTCTTGGCATATCATATTGGATCCTGTGGTGTGGTTGGAAGCCGGCACTCAAATATTCTTCTCACTGGGACTTGCATTCGGTGGCCTTATCGCATTTTCGTCTTACAATCCAGTCAACAATAATTGTTACAGAGACGCCATCATGGTTTCTCTCACAAATTGCTTTACTTCTATGTTTGCTGGGATCGTTGTTTTCTCCATTATCGGATTTAAGGTAATTTCAAAAAATAAAAAAAAATAACTAAAGGGTCAAGCGTTTTCGCAAAGCCTATCCGCGGTGTCACTATTCAGTCACTAAGGCCCGTAGCGTCAGTCGTCCCTACAATTTTAGGCCGCGTTTATGGCCTCCTAGATTGTCGTACTCCTTTCTCTCCTTCAAAAATCTCTAGATTACACTTGTTCCGTGTCAGCGCTCTCCTATTGTGAATATATGTTTTCTTTTTAAATTGTAGGAAATTTCAGGCTGATAAAACATGATATAACACAAAAGCAAGCACAATTTGATGCAAATAGATGTTTGTGACATAACCTCAAAATAGAGTTCTGACACGGAGAAGTAGAAAACTAACACAATCAAGGAGGCCATAAAGGCGCCCTACAATTGTAGGGACGACTGACGATATGTGCCTAAGTTCTCAGTGATAACCTAAATTAAAACCTATGAATTTTGTCCTATAACTTCTAGGATCAACGTTATATACTTTATTCCGCTTTTAGGCTACAATGACATTCGAGAAATGCCTAGAAGAAAGAAATGCTACACTGAGCAACATTTTTGGAGCCGACTATAATCAAAAAAGTTTACCAAAGGAAGGAAGTGTCTTCAATATCACTACTGCACAAGGAATTGTTACAAGTATCATGCCTAAGCTGCCTGAGTGTGATCTGCAGAAGGAATTGGATAATGTAAGGTGCTATCATTTCTAAAGCGTGTGCCAGAGTAACATGTATATTTCTCGGATACAGAACACAAGATATAGTATAAACGAATGTTTTATGGGGATAGAGATACAGCTTCGCTACCGGGAATTTTGCTTGTTTTCACCAAGTTCAGTACCATATTCAAACGAACACTGGGGTCTCACATGACAGTATCCTTGAAAAAACCAAGTCACTTAGATTGCCAAATGCGGACTAGTCCCATTTTTTCTAAATTTAGATTCCACACAGGGTCTTGAATTAAAGCTTTATATTTCATGAACGTATATAAACATGCTCTTTAGTCAACATCATGTTACCCCGATTGGGTTACCCAAGTCCCAGTCTATACTACAACTATTTAAAACTGTAATGACTCATACGCGTGATCAACACGTGATCAGAGCTCGATCCCGGCTTCCTTCCAGTACAGCCGTACAGCGTACGACATATGTCGTTTCTGTGGCTTTGCGGTGGTCAACAGCACAGACAGAGATGGAAATAATGGCTGATTGTTCTCCGCCGGTAGAACCAATGAAATCAAAGACACGCCTCGACCGGCAGACTCATAGGCGTCGGCAACGCATTGGAACGTGTTTCGTTGAGCGATCGCATAGTGTGGGTTTTTATAAGAATTGTTGTGTGATTGTTATTGTTGTGGTTTCTGTGGTTACTGTTTTGGTTATACTTAACCATGGAGAGTACAAATGGCACGAGTGGAAGTACTGAAAGCGAGGGAACAAGTAGACGGCTTCGTAAAGCACTGAAGAGGGACGCGAAAGAAATCGTGCTCAACGTGTTCAATTATCTGAACAGAACTATGTCGCAGGGAGATGCACTCGCGCGTTGTGAAAGTATGACGGGCGTTCCAGAGTGGACCATTCGCAGGGTGGTGCATGAAAAGAAGAAAACTGGAGCTACTACTGATCCAAAGTTTAAGTTGAAAGGACGAAAGGCCGTTAAATTGGATGACGATAGCAAAATGGCGTTAAGGCGAACCGTACATTCATTCTTCTTTAGGAATGAGATACCAACCCTCAAGGCTGTACATGCAGCGATCAAGGAAAATGAAATTATACCCCAAATGAGCGTCGAGGTAATGAGGAAATCCCTGCACGAAATTAATTTTCGTTACGAAACGCGTAATCGGAAGTCAGTATTGATAGAGAGACCTGAAATAGTCGCCTGGCGTCGAAAATACCTACGTGAAATGATTGAGTATAGGCGACAAAGCAGAAAAATCTATTATTTGGACGAGACATGGGTAAATGCAGGTCACACAGTTAAAAAAACCTGGATAGTCAAAAACGTAGTGAGTAACCGACAAGCAAGCATGGAAGGTTTGTCAACAGGTCTTTGTGGACCGTCAGGGAAAGGTCAAAGATTGATCGTAACTCATATTGGTAGCGACAGTGGCTTTTTAGAAGAGTGTGCCTTGATTTTCGTCTCTAAGAAAGGAGGTGATTACCATGACGAAATGCATGCCAGCTGCTTCGAGAACTGGTTTCAAGGGGTGCTTCAGGGGTGATTCATGTGTGAAAGCGGAATTGTATGAAAAAATTAAACAGCACAAACCTGCGAACATTAGTTACGTGACTGATGACATGGCCCGTCAATGTGGTGTCACTGTGCTGCGGTTACCGCCCTACCACTGTGAACTGAACCCAATAGAGCTCATCTGGGCTCAAGTGAAGGGTTATATTGCGCGCCATAACACAACCTTCAAATTACCAGACGTTAAGGTTTTACTTGAGACTTCCATACAGCTAGTAACGCCCGAAGCTTGGCAGAATGCCATCCGTCATGTTGTGAAGGAAGAAACAAAAATGTGGCAGCTTGACCACCACATCGACACCATCATAGAGCCAGTTATAGTCAATTTCAACGAGGAAAGCGATAGCGACAGTTTATTACTGTCAGATGTAAGTGGAAGCGACGATGAATAAAGGTAATTCCCAAATTTTTGACTTACAATATGTTTCAAACCACTCTCTACTGGTAGTTAAGTGATGTTCACGTGAACATCGATGAGTCATTACAGTTTTAGATAGTTATAGTTATAGTATAAAGAGAGTGCTCTAAGCGTGGACAATGTTTTGTGTATAATTCCTAAGTTATAAACTACATATCATTTTTTTTGTAGTCTGCATCAGGTACAGGCCTAGCCTTCATCATCTTCACCGAAGCCATCAACCAGTTTCCAGGTGCTCAGTTCTGGTCAGTCCTCTTCTTCCTGATGCTGTTCACGTTGGGCATCGACTCCCAGTTTGGCACCCTAGAGGGTGTTGTGACCTCGATCGTGGACATGAAGCTGTTCCCCAACCTCCCAAAGGAGATCCTCACCGGAGGCATCTGTTTGGCGTGCTGCCTGATCTCCATGGGGTTCGCTCACGGCGCTGGCAGTTACGTGTTCGTACTTTTCGACAACTTCAGCGGGAATTTCCCGCTGTTGATCATTGCGTTTTTTGAGTGCGTTGCTGTATCGTACGTGTATGGACTCAAAAGGTGAGTAGTTGGGGATCCATGTCGACAAACTGATATAATTGTCACTTTGGAACAAGCTATCGTTTACTAGGACATAACAGAACCACTCACTTACCTAATCAACAAATGCTTTGAATCTGGCATATATCCCTCAATTTTAAAAAAGGTAATATAATACCGATACATAAATCAGGAACAAAAACAGATGTTAACAACTATAGACCAATATCAATAATATCCAGTGTAGCAAAGGTTTTTGAAAAAGTTTTATCTACTAGAATGATTCGTTATACCTCACAAAATTCAAAATTTTAAGTGAAAATCAATATGGATTTACAGAAGGGAAGGCTACATCGGACGCAATAACTAAAATTATAAATCAAATATATCAAAATATTGATAACAGAATCCCTTCAATCTGCATTTTTGTTGATTTAAAGAAAGCTTTCGACACAGTTAATCACAAATTATTATTAGAAGCATTGGAGAGAATTGGTTTCAGAGGAAACGCGTACTCACTGATCGAAAGTTATTTGTCAAATCGCCCACAATCTGTGCAGATATCAGGATCATTTAGTAAAGAACTGTATATTAAGTGTGGTGTCCCACAAGCAACTGTCTTAGGTCCGCTGTTATTCAATATATATTTAAATGATATTTTCCAAATTAATTGTGTTGGCAAAATAACTAGTTTTGCAGATGATACTGCAATATTATATGAAGGCACTGACTGGTCTGATCTGAAAAATGTAATTGAAAATGATTTTATCAAAATTATTCGGTGGTTTAACAGTAGAAAATTAAGCATTAACTACTCTAAAACACATTTTTTACCATTTGGATCTTATGCTAGACATCTGCCAAATTACACAAATTTCTCCTTCAATATTAATGATCAAAAAATGCAAATTAATAGAGTGCCCAACATAAAATACCTTGGAGTGGTCTTGGATCCTCACTTACGATGGGACATCCATGTCAATTAGATTTTAAAGAAAGTTAGATTTGTATCCTACAAAATTAAATACCTTGGGAATATATTGACAGAAAAGTATCTTCAAACATTATACCACGCACTGATTGAGCCTCATCTCACATATGGTATATTAGCATGGGGAGCTGCATGTTCTTCACATATCTATAATTTAGATGTTTTTCAGAAAAGTATTCTAAAAATGATATTTAAAAAACCGAAACTTTATCCCACTTAAAAATTATATGCAGATGTTCGAATGTATGATATAAGACAGCTTTATTTCTTACACAGTATCACTCACTACCATAAATTTGTAAACACCGACCAAAAAATTAAACATAATCATTATACCAGGTACAAAATTCGTGGCACAGTAGTTCCTCAACTGCATAAATCTATAATGCAGCGATCATATCTCTATTTAGCGCCTAAATTTTATGAAATTATACCTAAAGACTTAAAAGATTTACGTTTCGGTAATTGTTTCAAAAGAAATTCAAAAAAGTGGCTACATTCTATATCTAGGACTGAAATCCATAAACTTATAAATACGAACATCAACTAAATACATAATCTACTGTAGCTAATTTTTGTCCTTTCTGTCATTTGCATTCTACAGTTTCAACTTAAATTATTGGTCCATGTACAGGCGATGCCTTCTATTGGGCCTGTTTTGATTTTATATTTATTTACTCATATTGTTTGTTATCTTTGTACATTGAGTAAATAAATATTATTATTATCATTATTATTATTATTATTACTTTATGCTTACTTGTAGTAGTTGTGTGTGTCGCCTAAAGGTCAAGATACTTGAGCTATGTGCTGTAGCTCTGATGGAATGTAAATTTTGCTTGAGAGGGTATGGCGTTCGCTGTCAGAGCGATTATTAAATATAATGCAGACGCGGAATAGCCACCCGGGTACAAGGAGCACATTTCTTTCTTTCAAAAGCGCTTGAACCAAACATAAGATTACACCTATTGTCGCAGCAATATATTTTAACATGTTTGTTACTTTTGCCCTATTTTTATACACCCATGTCAGATTTGTGTTGGTAAGGTGCGGCAAATCATTTAAAGTGATCAGGCTCGCAGGAGACGCATTTGGAAACGTATTTTCAGTTACTTTGTATGTCAGAGGAGACGTTCACCCAGAAAACAAATGAAAAATAATTTTTGGAATAATACTGGACTGCCTTAGATTCACATCACGAGCATTTATAAGTTCACCGACTTTACGAAAAATAACTTGAAGTTCTCCATACTTATTTACATTCACAATTGTCTTTCCAAAAACGGCTTTCACCGCGTTAGGTATGTGAGAATTTTGTTCTTTATAAAATTGAAGTTGTGTGCCCGACTACGTTCAACGCAACACTATTTCTGGACGCATGGTAGAAACTTCTCATATTCTTCTTGTTGTTTCCAGATTTGCGGATGACATCGAAATGATGACAGGTACTCGTCCAGGTCTATACTGGTTGATCTGCTGGAAGTACCTCTCTCCTTTGGCAATGCTGTCCATCCTGGTGGCCAGTTTCGTCGAGATAGCAGTCAAAGGGACGGGGTACGATGCCTGGGTACCGTCCAAAGGAGAAACAGAGCACCACCAGTGGCCCGTTTGGTCATTGGTACTTATTAGCGGACTGGTGTTCGCTTCGGTACTGTGGATACCTGGAGCTGCCATAGCAAGGTTCGTATATAGACTAGGTTTTCTAATATAGTCGAGTAACGAAATGCTACGCTACTGTCTTTGTGTAGTTACATACCGTTGGGAATGGAGTAAACTGCCTGCTGCTTTCTGTTTCCGCCTGTAAAAATTTGAGAAACTATTATTATAATATTAGGAATATCCTCACAACATATGAACTCCACTTTAGCGCATACCTGAAGCTATTTTTTTTTCAAATAAAGGAATGCTCTAAATTATATGAATATAGCATACATTGTATATTAATGTGACAATAGTCATCGCAATATTGCAACTTTGCATTATTTTTACTAGATTATTCTTACTTCTTTTATTCCAGATCAACATTCCCATCACTACACCATCATCACTATAACAATTTCTACATTTAGTTGCAATGTTGCCAAATCATGGGTATTGGTGGTCAGCGAATATAGAAAAGCAAATGCGTGCGAATTAGGATTTTATTTGGTTTGTCAAATTATTTCACTGTGAAGAGTTTCTTTTCGATTTTCAGAGATCCTTACCATTGTAACGTATATCTCATAATAGGCTACCGAGTAGGCCAAAGACCGGGAGTTACTTCCTAGGGTAAAATAGTGCAATCGGCACAGGATTGCTATGAAAACGCGATTTTTTTATTATAGTACAATTCAATTATTCTTTGTATATCTGTATTTCAAGTTATGTTAAGTTGAGAAACGCTTCTTAGCATCACTTCGCCTTATTATTATTATTATTATTATTATTATTATTATTAAGAATAATTTAGAGTGAAGCTGATGTCACAAAACATACCCAATTAGATGTATGTATATGAGAATTTACTGAAAAAGTAGCTGTTGCTATGTAACCTCATCTTTTGGGTTACGAATTTCTCCCAAAAAAGTACAATTTAGCAACAATGGAGAGCATTTGTCTTATCTGTCACGGAATGAACGTTATAAAATGGCACTTGAGAATTTTGTCTACCTTCAAGCATTTCTTATTGATCTCATTGAAAATACGCGAAAAAATGTTTAAGGAATTTCAAGAAGACATTGAAAAGTCACAACACCTCTATACAGTTTTCCATAACCATAATTTACGGTGTGTAATTTGAACCGTTATTTGAGCTTATCACACGGCTAATTTTAAACCTTTTTTTTGCAAAAAAAACAACGACTTTTTATAATTTCATATAATAAAATTTTCTTAAAAAATTATCTTTTTTTCTGATCTCTCTAATTAATCCAGAAATAAAACAAGAATTTCGGTCTTCATGCGGTAAAGTGTAGACTTACCCTTCACCCTACTAACTATACTAAGTGACATATAAATCCGAACACCCAGTTTAAATGGTTTTATTTTAATAAAAGTTGGTGAATGTATTTATCTTACTGTAAATAACAAGTGAAAAAATTTTCAGCCTTATCAGTTGGACATTCCGGTTTTATACTGCTTTTTTTTAATTCACTAACGCTCTAAAAATGAATATTTCAGCCGCAGTAAAGAATCAACGTTGGAGGATTTTGGTTCTTGACATCCTTTACGATCGGTTACGATGCCTAGAGTACGGAGACCTGTACGATTTTGTCAACTTAGTGAGTTTGATAGGGGCCGTCTAGTGGGACTTCGGGAAGCTGGACTTTCTTTTCGGGCAATTGCAGTTAGAGTGCAAAGAAGTGTAGACACTGTGGCTAGGTGTTGTCAGTCATGGCTTCGAGAAGGCCGTACGCAAAGAGCAAGGGGCACTGGACGCCGCCGTAGAACAGCAGACCGTGAAGATCGCCGCCTAAGATTATTGGCCTTAAGGGACCGTTTCTCCACTACCAGGTCCATTACAAATGAATGGTTTGCAGAACACGGAAGACCTATTGGCATGCGAAGTGTTTACCGACGAATGAGAAGTTTTGGCTTGTTTTCATACCGGCCACACTGGGTCCTCCCTTTAACTCGAGAACACCGACGTAATCGCCTTGAGTGGTGCAGATAACGGTCACTCTGGGATCAGGAATGGAACAGTATTGTCTTTAGTGACGAGTCTCGATTTTGTTTAGGCATGCACGATGGTCGTGCCAGGGTTAGAAGGCGACGTGGTGAAAGGAGGAATCCACAGTTTTTTGTTGAAATACATGTTCATCACACTGTTGGAGCTATGGTTTGGGGTGCTATAGCTTATGGTTCCAGGTCACCTTTAATCTTCATCAGAGGTAACATGAACGCGCAGCGTTATATCCACGAAGTTCTAGAACCCCATCTTTTACCCTATCTTGACACCCTGGCAGATCCAACTTTCCAACAAGATAATGCCCGACCACATGTTGCAAGAGTCACAATAGACTTCTTTCAACATAATGATGTCACATTGTTACCATGGCCACCAACATCTCCCGACTTATCCCCAATTGAGTACGTGTGGGATATGATGGGTAGGAGATTGCTCAATTTGCAACGTCCTCCTCAGACTCTAGAAGCACTTCGAGAGGAGTTGGTGGTTGCCTGGAATGAGATACCACAGGATAACATTGACCACCTGATCAGAAGCATGCCTAGGCGCGCTGGAGAATGCGTAGCACATCAGGGTGCATCCACACATTATTAAAGGTCAAAGGGCTTAAAAGCAGTGCAATCATTTTGAAATTTTTATGATTTTCTTATTATGCTTCATTAAGTAGTTATACAAAATTTTATTAAAATAAAACCATTTAAACTGGGTGTTCGGATTTATATGTCACTTAGTATATTACTTATTGCATTTCTCTGAGAATTTATTTTTCTTCCCCAGGTAAATGATAAAGTAGCCACTTCTCTCAATGTAAGAGGAGTCCTCATCACTTACGAGTATATGAGACCTCTATCCATTTCTTGATATTACCGTAAATTATTATTAAGAGTAAAGGCGTAACTTATTTTAAGAATTGTTGTTACGAGTACTGATTGCATCCATGTGTCACATTGTTTTACAATAATTTAAGAATACTCGTAAGTGGGAAATGGATGGACATTGCATTTTCTGTCTTCATCAGACACTATCATCTGGGTGCATCATTCTCTTGCTACGAACCGTTCAGTGATGTACAGTATATTCAGATAAGAGATAGACCGGACATAAACAAGACCACGTGATCATCGAACGCTGTAACATTCGGCAGGGACGTATTAAGAGTCACGCAGTACATATTTTAGATAGTAGATGCTGCTTTGCGTAACTTTGTAGTAAATTAGCACAATTCGATGTGTATACGATTGGTGATGGATATAGGATAATGTGGGGATGGGGTAAGAAATATATAATGATGTAAATATACATAAGGGTTTCAAAATTTTCGCTTCGATTTCCAGCTTCGGATGCCGCCTGATGTTTGGTGAAATACAGTCGAATATAGTCTCAAAATGGCGTTTAAATTAGCCTAAATTAAAAATAATCGTATATCTCTTAAAATTGCTTTTAGAATATTGATTAGTATATTTTTTGATTCCTAGGTAAATATGTAACCAAATTAAATCGTTCAAAACGCAAAAAAATGTGCATGGTTGAACATTGTCAGAAAGTAGATTCTTGAATAGGTTTTGCCAAAATGGGTTCAAAAATGTCAATAATTAATTAAAAAATACAGTACCTTTATAATTACTTATAACTTACCGACTTTGATGAACGACATCTTTTATTGGAAAGATGAGCTTGATGAGTTTTCATCATCGCTACTGCCTGAAGCACCAACGTCAATAATGAATGGCTCGACTTGTTCCTCTAAAATATGGTCCAGTTCCCACATTCTCTTTTCAACTTTGTCTTTCACGTGCTTAATAAAGTTTTCCCATTTTTGCGCTGTTATTAATTCTAGTGCTTCTTTGAAAAGTCCTTTAAGGTCACAAAATTTAAAAGTTGCTTAGCTATATAATTTTTAACCTCTGCCCATATGAGCTCAATGGGATTGAGCTCGCAATGGTATGGAGGTAAACGGAGCACAGTTTTATTTTGACTTGCTGCCATTTCGTCACTGGCGTATTTTTGATATTCCGCCTTGTGATCCTTGACAATTCTTAATAATTGTACTTTCAGCATTGCTTCTTCAAAGTTGATATTTTTCGAGCGGACCCAATTTTGAACATCAACTTTCCTTGAAGCCGTTGTTGGGACCTTCTCCATTCTTCGAGAATGATAAGGCGCATTATTATATATTATATTATTATATTATACAATTACTGCGTTTTCCTCTAAGTTCGGTAAAATTTTTGAAAACCACTGTTCAAACGATTCGCCATTCATTTCCTCGTGGTAATCTCCAGTTTTCTTAGACTCAAAGCACCACAGACCGTCAACAACACTACAACTATTGTATTCGACTCAAAGGCCAAGGCGGAAGTGCTAGCCAAGATCTTTGCTGCCAACTCTACCATGTACGTCCCCACCAATGCCCAAGTGCCGTCAATTCAAAGGGTTCCCCACACTATGCGGGAGGTAACATTCAGGCATAAGACCGTAAGACGAGTGCTCTTGTCGCTCGACATCAATAAAGCTTCTGGTCCGGACTTGATTCCTGCCATTGTACTGAAGAGATGTGCAGCGGAGCTTGCTCCAGTTCTTTCGCGTCTCTTCCAGATATCTTATGAATCCGGCACCTTCCCAGAAAACTGGAAATTTGCTCATGTACAGCCCATCCCAAAAAAAGGATCTAAAACCAACCCTTACAACTACAGGCCTATAGCTCTGCTTTCTGTTATAAGTAAAGTGATGGAGAGGTGCATAAATCGCGAGCTTCTGGACTACCTCGAACGTCACAGCTTGATTAGCGACAGGCAGTACGGTTTCCGGCACCAACGATCCACAGGGGACCTCCTAGCTTACGTCACGCAACTGTGGAGTAAACTCATCCAGTCTCATGGTGAGGCTCAGGTCGTTGCTCTTGACATCACGAAAGCGTTCGATCAGCTGTGGCACGCTGCCCTCTTAAGCAAACTTCCATCCTATGGCCTCCCAAAAAAGCTTTGCAGATGGGTGGCTGACTTTATCTCTGGCCGCAAGATATCCGTCGTAATTGACGGATTCTCCTCTTCATCCCACAACGTCAACACGGGTGTTCCCCAGGGATCGGTCTTGGCTCCAACACTGTTTCTCTTACATATCAACGACCTCCTTTCCTGCACGATCAACCCAATCCACAGCTTCGCTGATGACAGCACTCTACATGCAGGAATTCAGAGTGACAAGCCGATCTCTGCCGCTGAGCTTGAAAAAAGAAGACTAGCGACGACTTCTTCCCTGACAAGAGACCTGGAGGCTATCACTGCTTGGGGACGCAACAATCTTGTACAGTTCAATGCTTCCAAAACACAGTACTGTACTTTGACGAACAAAAAGCGTCCTAGCGCTCATACAGTTTCGATGGACGGTCGAGTTCTACCAAAGAGCCATTCATTTCGGCTGGTCGGAGTCCAGATCACCGAGGACCTGATCTGGCACGAACACATCTCTTCAATGGCTGCAGCTAGGCTATTTGTTTAGGGCTAAGAAGTACTTTTCTCCGCATGACATTCTCACTCTATACAAGGCCCAGATAAGGCCTAGCCTCGAGTATTGCTCACACATTTGGGGTGCTGCCGCCCCGACTACATTGTCCATGCTCGATGCTGTCCAGAGGAGGGCGGTCCGACTGATCGACGACTCTTCTCTAACAGACAGTCTCGGGACTCTTTCGCACCGGCGGGCCGTCGGCGATCTAGCTCTTTTCTATCGCTACACCAACGGGCTGTGCTCGTCAGAGCTCTCTTCCGTGATGCCGCCGCGCGATGTGCCTGCCAGACAGACCCGCCTGACTTCGGCGTCCCATCCTAACCGTGTCAAACTTCGTACATCCAGAACTGGCCGATACGACCGCTCCTTTGTCCCGAGGGTGTCTAGATTGTGGAACAATATACGGGAGGAAGCTTTTCCCAGTTCTACTAACCTTGGGCAGTTCAAAGGTCGTATTAACAAAATTTCTTTGGGATCATCATAGCAGCCGCGGTGTTCCGGCATTTAGGCTTCTGCCTGCGCGGCTGTTTCGATATATAAAAATAAAAAAAAAAACAACAAATCCATCCTCACTGCCAATATGGCAGATAATGAGCCTTTTCCCTTTACCTGGAAATCGAAGTACTAACTGGTGTAGATTTATTTCAATAAGCGAACCTTTTTCAAATGTTTTCATCACATTCAGCGAAAAAACATTGAGACATGAGTATCAGATTGCTATAATTGGGATTATTTAGTCATATTGAAAGAAAGAATATTGAACGTCGTATGATTACTCAGCGCTTCACAATTTATTTTAAAGTTATAAACCTTTAAAAAATGAATGATCAGGAACCTGAAATACGCGCAAATATTAATATTAACAAATTATAACTTTATAAAGCTTAAAGTATGAATTAAAATGATTAGAAATATTAGGAACGGCACACAATATAAAACTTAGTAGCTTTTTTTAAGTTTATAATATTCGACATATTTTAAGATTATATTAAAAAATTATTGAAATATCGAAAACACATAAAAACATGGCTTAAAAAAGTTCTAACAAATGAAAATGACAATAAAACATCCACGCATTTTATCGAAAGTTATAAAAGTTTTGTTACTTGTAATATGTTTTATCTGCCCCCTGGAATTAATGTTTAGAACCTTGTTCCCAAGGTTTGAAAAACATCCGATTGTTGTCTATTACTCGTATTTACCTGCTGGATTTTTTAATCCGGTGGACAGTCTAGAAAGGCCCTCCTGGATGAAGTTACAGAATCATCAACCCATACTTTACTTGTAGTGTGTCCTGCGTTTACCCACGTTTCATCAAGGTAATAAATCTTCCTGTTTTGATTTCTATATTTCCCAATTTTTGTTAAATAATCCCTCCTCCATAGCACAATTTCTTCTCTATCCAGTAGTAAACTATTACGACCCCGTTTTTTCCATTTGAAATTTAAATGCTTCAGTAACGCATGAAAAGTTGATCGTTTGAAATCTGGCAACGTTGTATCTCCATTTACCTCCTGCAGTACTTTATCTATAGTAGGTATTTCAGTCCTAAAGAAGAATTCATGCACTTTCCTCCTAATCGCATGCTTATCAGCTTCATCCAATGATTTAACAATACTTTTGCGATGTTTACTGGTCATTGGCTCAGAAAAGGTGTGATTTTTTTTGTATTGTCCTAACACATTAAACACTGATGCGCGACACACCAAAACTTTGTGAGAAACCTTCACAACAATTTCTTTGATGGTTGATGCCTCGTTCTCCTCGCGCTCGATCTTATATATATTCAAAATGACCTCTTTCATTTCTGCACTCAGGTGTCTTTTTTTAGAGCGTTTCCTAGGTGGACTACAGGAGTTTACAACTTCATCGGCAGTATCTGTACTACTGGGCATTTTGCGCAAGCAGTTGATAACAATAAGAATCAATAACAAGGTATAACAATAACAACGACAAACCCAACAACCTAATAAGATAACAAACGAAAACGTCCAAAGAAATATCAAATTGCAATGATGCCCACGACATACGTAACACGTCTGAACCTGAATGTGACTCTGCCTTGATACGACTGCTCTGCCGCTCGGCATAGGCATTTAATTGCGAATTGACCAATGAGGGCTCCTGTTTTACGTCGAGACGGCGGCGTTAGCGTGAAAATCATCCGAACCTTTTGTTTACATCCGGTCTATCTCTTATCTGAATATACTGTAGACAGTAAGCTGACAATGTTGCAGGACGTTGAGAAAATTCTCCAAATATGCTATATATCAGAAACTGATCAAATTAAATATGCAAGTACTTCAGTGATAGTAGTGAAAAAGACACTATTACTAGCTCTTTCATAGAAATAACTAGCATATATGCCTGCGTGAAATTGCCCTGAAGTTATGGAAAGGGTCTGTTGAAACCTTTGTATGTGGTGTACTGGCTATAATATGTTCTTTAATTAATTTTAGGTTATTTGGGATAGTCCTCATAGACGACAACGAAAAGGCGTGGTTCCCTGCCAGCGATCTTAAAGACTTCCATGGCATTACGCCTCATGAGGTGACAACCGCAGAAACGTTACTTTTCTGCATCAGACCCGATGGAACTGAAGGGCTATGTTGCCCTACAACCTATTCTTATGAAGACGAAGACGAAGGAACTTGAGACAATACTATGTAGATCAGTATCATCTTTTATGTATAATATGAGTACAAAAAATGTATATTTAAAGGGAAAAGAGCACTTTGCCATACAACTGTCAAGAAAGTTCATTTGCTTTTTCTATTTCCTTCCTTAAGCAACCAGCTGTTGACACAACGTTGTAGGGTCAGTGCGAACACGTTGCATAAAAGTGTATTTATCAACTATGCTATACAGCTAATAACATATCTTAACGTCTTTGGGAAAACATGTTTTAGAACATTAAGGGGCAACTAGCAAGCTGACAGAAAAACATGACAATAAAAAATGTATTCTAAAGTTGTATCGGGATTAGTGACTTGGTTTTTAATTTGTACTTTCGTAGTAGAACTGCATTCATAGCTTGTCGAGCTGCACACATTGGGACCACCAATGTCAGCGCCACCTTTGTCTCGGATTAGCGCAAGTAAAAGTGAATTTTGTGAAACTGCTTCACAGGTGACGCTAGCGAAGTCACGGATACTATCACACTGTTGCCGCCTGTTCTTATTTCTCCCATGTTTTATGTTGAACAGCGATTCAAGCTTGATCTTGCTCTAAAAGCAATATATACTTCAAATGAACAACTGATGTTGTGATTTGCAATACAGATTCTAAAGTTATGAGTCTTTTCCCTTGATATGGATACATTTTAATGCTCATATTGGTGTAAGCTTAGAAATATTTATTTCAAAGGTTAGGTAGTGCTCCAGTATACATATATTTACATATCCTCAAGCATATCTTTGCTGATTAAGAGGTGATTCTAGTTTGCAGAACGTTAGTTAAAATTGTAGAACTCTCTATTTGGACACAAAGACAATAAAATATAGCAAAACGATCGGTTCCTTCTACTATGGCAGGACAACTCGAAATTATTGCTTGGATTGCAACTCTAACCAAAATAAGAGACATGGATCGACACACATATCTATCATGTTCGCTGAATACCTCGATTTCACTATAAACCTGTCAATAGTAACATCTGTCTAAGGGCGGTATTGTCAGTCGTTTCTACAATTTATTGTAGGACGTCTGTATAGCCTCCTTGATTTTCATAGTTTTCTACTGTTCCGTATCAGAGCTTTGTTTTGAGGTTATGTTACAAATAGCTATTTGCATCAAATTGTTTATGCTTCTGATGCTTATCATCTGCTATACCAGCCTGAAATTTCCTACAATTCTGAGAGAAAACAGCCTCACAAATCTAGAAATACTACAACCTTTCTCTTGGAGAGAACATACCATGAGAATCAAGGTGGTCATAAAGGCATCCTACAATTGTAGGAACGAAGACTTATGACATAAGCCTAGCAGATCTGGTAACTCAATAACTAGGCAATTTTAAAAAACTGGGGAAGAAGATGAAGAAGAATAGAATGGAGGAGAACAGAAGGGAATAAAGAACTCCGATTTAAGATATGCGGCATTATAGAGACGATCCAATAAATTTTGGTGTAATCCAAAATGCTTATTATTTGTTGTTGCATATTGGACAACCAATAAATCTATAAGACTTTGATGATCAAGATTCTTCTGCCAAATCAAACCAACCATAGTAGCATGAACTGGGAGTTGCTATACAGATAGTTTCGGAACAATAATAAATAAAAGTGTCTTAAATACTTTCCCATTATTTTTATAAATATTTATTTGAACAATGACAATAAGTATATCTTCGAAGCAAAATTGAAATCAGACGTGTTCATGAAATTCTGTTGTAACCTCTGGATAAAGATGTGATAAAATGCACAAACTAAACTAGTCCTTATGTTTGTAGCTTGGATATGTTACGTATTTATCTCGAAATGATGTGCTAAAACGATTCCATCGTAATATTTGTCGTTAACAGAAGGGTTAGCAGGCCCTTTGAGGGAATTTTGTTATAAGAGAAGTGTTTCAATAAATTGATATTAATAATTATTGATGGTCGATGATATCTTTCGTGACTGTTTTGGTAGTAACGAACTACTGAAAATTCTATTTAGTTTAACCTAGGACTTTACTGTTGTGGGTCTATCTCTTCTATGATATTAGGTATCTACAGTATATTCAGATAAGAGATAGACCGGACATAAACAAGACCACGTGATCATCGAACGCTGTAACATTCGGCAGGGACGTATTAAGAGTCACGCAGTACATATTTTAGATAGTAGATGCTGCTTTGCGTAACTTTGTAGTAAATTAGCACAATTCGATGTGTATACGATTGGTGATGGATATAGGATCATGTGGGGATGGGGTAAGAAATATATAATGATGTAAATATACATAAGGGTTTCAAAATTTTCGCTTCGATTTCCAGCTTCGGATGCCGCCTGATGTTTTGTGAAATACAGTCGAATATAATCTCAAAATGGCGTTTAAATTAGCCTAAATTAAAAATAATCGTATATCTCTTAAAATTGCTTTTAGAATATTGATTAGTATATTTTTTGATTTCTAGGTAAATATGTAACCAAATTAAAACGTTCAAAACGTAAAAAAATGTGCATGGTTGAACATTGTCAGAAAGTAGATTCTTGAATGGGTTTTGCCAAAATGGGTTCAAAAATGTCAACAATTAATTAAAAAATACAGTAGCTTTATAATTACTTATAACTTACCGAATTTGATGAACGACATCTTTTATTGGAAAGATGAGCTTGATGAGCTTTCATCATCGCTACTGCCTGAAGCACCAACGTCAATAATGAATGGCTCGACTTGTTCCTCTAAAATATTGTCCAGTTCCCACATTCTCTTTTCAACTTTGTCTTTCACGTGCTTAATACAGTTTTCCCATTTTTGCGCTGTTATTAATTCTAGTGCTTCTTTGAAAAGTCCCTTGAGGTCACAAAATTTAAAAGTTGTATTGTGCTTAGCTATATAATTTTTAACCTCTGCCCATATGAGCTCAATGGGATTGAGCTCGCAGTGGTATGGAGGTAAACGGAGCACAGTTTTATTTTGACTTGCTGCCATTTCGTCAATGGCGTATTTTTGATATTCCGCCTTGTGATCCTTGACAATTCTTAATAATTGTACTTTCAGCATTGCTTCTTCAAAGTTGATATTTTTCGAGCGGAGCCAATTTTGAACATCAACTTTCCTTGAAGCCGTTGTTGGGACCTTCTCCATTCTTCGAGAATGATAAGGCGCATTATCCAACACAATTACTGCGTTTTCCTCTAAGTTCGGTAAAATTTTTGAAAACCACTGTTCAAACGATTCGCCATTCATTTCCTCGTGGTAATCTCCAGTTTTCTTAGACTCAAAGCACCACAGACCGTCAACAACAAATCCATCCTCACTGCCAATATGGCAGATAATGAGCCTTTTCCCTTTACCTGGAAATCGAAGTACTAACTGGTGTAGATTTATTTCAATAAGCGAACCTTTTTCAAATGTTTTCATCACATTCAGCGAAAAAACATTGAGACATGAGTATCAGATTGCTATACTTGGGACTATTTAGTCATATTGAAAGAAAAAATATTGAACGTCGTATGATTACTCAGCGCTTCACAATTTAATTTAAAGTTATAAACCTTTAGAAAATGAATGATCAGGAACCTGAAATACGCGCAAATATTAATATTAACAAATTATAACTTTATAAAGCTTAAAGTATGAATTCAAATGATTAGAAATATTAGGAACGGTACACAATATAAAACTTAGTAACTTTTTTTAAGTTTATAATATCCGACATATTTTAAGATTATATTAAAAAATTATTGAAATATCGAAAACACATAAAAACATGGCTTAAAAAAGTTCTAACAAATGAAAATGACAATAAAACATCCACGCATTTTATCGAAAGTTATAAAAGTTTTGTTACTTGTAATATGTTTTATCTGCCCCTTGGAATTAATGTTTAGAACCTTGTTCCCAAGGTTTGAAAAACATCCGATTGTTGTCTATTACTCGTATTTACCTGCTGGATTTTTTAATCCGGTGGACAGTTATCTAGAAAGGCCCTCCTGGATGAAGTTACAGAATCATCAACCCATACTTTACTTGTAGTGTGTCCTGCGTTTACCCACGTTTCATCAAGGTAATAAATCTTCCTGTTTTGATTTCTATATTTCCCAATTTTTGTTAAATAATCCCTCCTCCATAGCACAATTTCTTCTCTATCCAGTAGTAAACTATTACGACCCCGTTTTTTCCATTTGAAATTTAAATGCTTCAGTAACGCATGGAAAGTTGATCGTTTGAAATTTGGCAACGTTGTATCTCCATTTACCTCCTGCAGTACTTTATCTATAGTAGGTATTTCATTCCTAAAGAAGAATTCATGCACTTTCCTCCTAATCGCATGCTTATCAGCTTCATCAATGATTTAACAATACTTTTGCGATGTTTACTGGTCATTGGCTCAGAAAAGGTGTGATTTTTTTTGTATTGTCTTAACACATTAAACACTGATGCGCGACACACCCCAACTTTGTGAGAAACCTTCACAACAATTTCTTTGATGGTTGATGCCTCGTTCTCCTCGCACTGGATCTTATATATATTCAAAATGACCTCTTTCATTTCTGCACTCAGGTGTCTTTTTTTAGAGCGTTTCCTAGGTGGACTACAGGAGTTGACAACTTCATCGGCAGTATCTGTACTACTGGGCATTTTGCGCAAGCAGTTGATAACAATAACAATCAATAACAAGGTATAACAATAACAACGACAAACTCAACAACTTAATAAGATAACAAACGAAAACGTCCAAAGAAATATCAAATTGCAATGATGCACACGACATACGTAACACGTCTGAACCTGAATGTGACTCTGCCTTGATACGACTGCTCAGCCGCTCGGCATAGGCATTTAGTTGCGAATTGACCAATGAGGGCTCCTGTTTTATGTCGAGACGGCGGCGTTAGCGTGAAAATCACCCGAACCTTTTGTTTACATCCGGTCTATCTCTTATCTGAATATTGGTATTTTGTAACTCTTTACCCCCTTAAGGAATCTTAAAAACCTCAAACAGCATGCCATACTTTTCAGTAAAAATGGGTTACAGTAAGCAATTATTTGCCTTTTATACGTAGACTAGGTTCACACTGGTAAAGCTTTCTTCAGCAAGAGTTACAAATTATTTGTGTATTATACACACCTCAATTATTGATACGTTTATCTAACTTTGCTGGTTTCCAGTACAATTAGATTGTATTCTCCTAAACCATTGCTAGAACATGGGATAAAGTAACGGTAGTATTTTGAAAGTGTGACATTTGGGTAATGGAAATTGTGTAAACAAACTGATCGTGTATTCAAATTACCAATGGATGATTAATTTATTATTGCGTAAATTTATTGTTCAAGGATTTTGTTGAAATGGGGATTTTGAGCCAATATCTTCGGTTCAGTGAATCTTACTGACACTTTGCAATAATTTCATGTCATATAATGCTCTCGTGATTAACATTTTTGCAGCCAGTAGACATTTCTTGCCGAATCTGAATACTTATCTCAACACAACGAGCATTAAAAGATAATGCTAAATATACTAGACCCTTGAATGAGGATTATGATATCTTTATCCTCTTTCCAGCGTAGAGAACGAATTTGGTTTTTGCTTTGCCAATGGCAGAAGTTCTTTTGTCATCTGTGGGGGTCCTAACCAGAGGGCTGGTCGACCATCTACTGTTGTGCAATAGCCGGAGCATTCCAAGCTTGTCTGGTCCTGCTTTCTACAGTCCATGGACCCAAGAATTTCATGTTATACAGGGTCCGGCACAAAAGTCGGACGGCTTTTAAAAAATAACAAAATCGGTAATTTTTACTGAAACACAAATATATTGACGGATTCGGGTTCACAATGAAATGGCGTTTGTCACAGTTAAGTGTGGAAAATCACGTTAGTCATGTGTGCTCGTATACACGATCCTTGAGGTGTCCCCATAGGAAAAAATCGAGGATGGATAAACCTGGGGACCGAGGAGGCCAATGAACATCACCAAATCTGGAAATAAGGCTACCACGGAAGAGAGGACGAATAACGTTCATCGTTGCTCCTGTTGGAACCACACACGTCGGAATGCAATGCGTCGTCGTCGTAATTTAGGTGAAAATAGTCGCACAGCGCACCCAACCGCTGGTTTTGGGGTGTGCAGCGGCAGTGATGTGCGCATTGTATACATCATGTATAAGATTGTATCGATTTCTTTGTTCTTGGTCGTCCAACCATATTTTTTCAAGTTGCCGATTCACTGTTCACCAACTTTCTGACGTTTACGGAAAAACCTAACCTCACTTATGCTATTCTATATATTGTTTTCATCATTGTATACATTGTATTCATTGTATACGCATTGTATACATCAAGATGTAGACAATTAATGTATACGCGTAAACGCCCATCACTGTGCAGCGGTCGTTCATGTAACTGTCGCGGATTTTCATTAGCCCAATAACGGCATTCTGCTGGTTAACCATTAAGATGAAAGTAAGCTTCGTCACTCATGAACAAAATGAGGGTCTTAATTTGCTCGATGAGTGCTTCAATCTCACGTGCGAAGTTCATTCGTCGTGCGTAATCTCCAGGCTCTGACGGGTCCCTGGGCGAGAAGAATTTGTGTCGCTGTCAAATCCTCATATTAGGGTTGTACACAAGGTATAAGCTTTATGTATCCCCAAAGTTTTTTTTACACCCTTTAGAAAGACTTTAATGTCTGCACATGCTTACTCTGTGTTTCCTTCCATTTAAATAACCACGATAGCTCCCAATAAAGATGAAGTGTCTGGCTAGGGACTAGATCCTAGTGCAAATGAAACAAAAAATCTCCAGGTTGTAACTGTGGCACAATGGCCAGTTTGTAGAGGTGAAAATGAAGTTCCATATGCAGAATAGGCCTTACTGAACGATCAGTGAGACGAAGTTCGCCAGCATGTTGTTGTTGTTTTGTGGAGCTCCTCGTGGACTTGTGTAGAAGAGTACACCACGTGTGTGAAGTGACTGAACCCAACGAAGGATGGTATTTCGACTGTCTACTGGTAAAAATGCTAGGAACGCCCGGACACTGTATTTGTACTCACCAGGCAGCAGCGGTGGCCGCAGTAGTAGACTCTTCGGTCTCCTGATCAGTCGC